GATATATATTTTTAATCATATGAATGCCTTTCCACTTTGTTTTCTTTGATACCTGGGTAAATCTCAACCCCTCACCTCTCAGGTAAAATACTGTCAATGTGTCACTATGCTTAAACACTGGTCTTTGTGGTCCACTTACTGCACTTAGTAGGTTGCTCTTATGTTTGTGTACTGGGGATTAAGCCCAGCCCCTCACACATGCCACACAAGCACTCTACCACTGAGCTACATTCTGAGCCCCCACCACCTTTTTGGTACCGCAGATTGAACTCAGGGGCACTCGACCACTGAGCTACATCCCCAGCCCTATTTTGTATTTTATTTAGAGACAGGGTCTCACTGAGTTGCTTACTGCCTCACTTTTGCCGAGGCAGGCTTTGAACTCGCAATCCTCCTGTCTCAGCCTCCCAAGCCGCTGGGATTACAGGCGTGTGTCACCATGCCTGGCTGAGCCCCTTTTTATTTTAAGCCAGGGTCTTACTAGGTTGTCAAAGCTAGCCTTGAACTTATGATCCTCCTTGCCTCTGCTTCCAGAGAAGCTGGGATTACAGGTATGTGGCTGCCATGCACAGGAGTAGACTGTCTCTTGAAAGCAGAATCATGTACAGGCCACACTTTTTTTTTTTTTAAGTTGTTAACAGACCTTTAGTTTTTTATACAAAGTTCTGAGAACTGAACCCAGTGTGCTGCCGCTGAGCCACATACTTTTAATTTCTCAAAACTATGAACTATAGTACTGTGTTCATAGTACATGTTAATAAGAATTAAATGAATGGTGGGATAGGGATGTAATTCAGTGGTAGAGCGCTTACCTAAAATAATAAAGCAGTTTTAGATATTTTTATCTTAGCAAAGAACACGGACAACAAACAATTTAAATTGTAGTGCTTTGAAGAAAAATGAAACAGGGTAAGAGAATAGTGTAGGAGCTCATGAATGCTTCTTTGAATGGGTCCAGAATGGGGAAATATGTAGGATCCTTGAAGGTTTTGAGAACTTGATTTTTATGTTTAAAAATTTATCAAGTCTTTTCTCTAAAAATATTGTCAATGGGCACAGAGTTATCAGTTATTTCTTGGGTTAGTGGTATAAATTTCTGATTGCAGTCATCCTCACCTTAGTAGAGTGACTGCAAGTTACTCAGGCACATGTCCATATAGTTAAAGATAACCATTCAAGACTCACTTGCAGCTAGATCAGACTATGTAATTAAGTTCTAGACAAGAGCAAAATTAATGTACTTCTTGCAGACCATAGCTCTTAACAGGAGTGGTCATGTCCTTCCCATGGTTTTGATACCGGTATATTAGTTAAGAGCTAAAACACCAATCCCAGACCAAAAGAAGGGCCAAGAATGACAGAACTACAAAATAGAAGTTGAGTGCAAAGTTGGAACATCATGCTTATGCTGCTAAGAATAAACATCTTTGGTCAGTTATATTCGGGCCTTTACTATACTGGCAGAAGAAACCTGTACCTTAACTTCAAGTTGGGGGCATACTGAAGAAGCATCATCTAACAACTCACAAGGAAATTAATTACATTACCAGGAACTGCTTATGGTTTAGCTTCAAACTCAAAAAGACAAGGTAGCACGATAGCAAGCCAGGATGGTATTTTAGAAAAAATGTAACTATCTTTTCAGTCTTACTTCTGCCATTTATCAACAGCAAGAATGTGAAAAAGCCGTAACATTGTTAAGTTCCTGTTTCTGCATCAGTAGTATAGGGTTTCTAATTTACAATATCTTTTCCTTATACTGGAATCCTATCTTTCAATCCACTCCTTATTGAAAAAGTGGCAGAAATGGCCAATTGATCCTCTTGGCACTCTATTTTCTCTCATCCTTCACTCTGAATGCACAGATTGAACGCCAAGAATGTGTGTTTTTCTGAGAGGCAGTCAGACAGGTAATAATAATTATGAAAAAACATCTTTTCAGGTGTTTCTGACCTCCCTAGAAATAGCTCACCCATGTTGCAGACTCTGATAAAGGCAGGGTTAGAGCCAGAACTGTTTTAGGTAGCTCTCAGCTTCCCCAACGCCCCTTAGCACAGTTTATAATGAATTTATGTGGAGTGGCCGACCCTGTACTCTATCTTTGGGATTTTTTTTTGAGGCTGGGTTGGTCCCACCCTTCACCCCACACCCCATCACAGTGCTGGTGTTTAAGACCAGAGCCTTGTGCATACTAGTTAAACCAGTGAACTACCTCCCCTGCCCTTTGGTTTTTTGAAAATAGCTATATTCCAGACAATTTCCAGTAAGCCATTTTTAATTGAGGAATGAGCAATGTGTCACTTAATGGTGGAGAAACTCTGAGAAATGCATTGTTAGGTGATTTCACAATTGTATGATGGCTACCATGTCTCTAGGCAATAATAGTCTTAGGAGACTACATTATATACCATTGACTGAAACATTGCTGTGTGGCATATGACTGCAGTTATATTTCAACATTAAAAAAATAAAATCCTTGCTGGGTGTGGGGTGCATATCTGTAATTAGAGTGACTGAAGAGGTTGGTTGAGGCAGGAGAATCACAAATTAAAGGCTAGCCTGGGCAGCTTAGCAAGACCCTGTTTCAAAATAAAAAATAAAAAGGTTGGAGATGTAGCTCTTGGGTTAAATCCCCAAAACAAACAAAAAATACCCCATACCCAATTTTTCCACTGGGAATAAAAAAAGCTCAAATTGTCAACACAGTCCAACTTCCCAAATAATCAAATTAATTATAAATTTTCCAAAATATATGGTATGACTATAGAATAATGACATGGATTAGTATAAGTATCTTTAGGATAGCTCATCTAACTTATATTCATATTTCATGAAGATTACAAAATATATGAAAATATTTACATCTGAATGCACAAGATTTCCTCAAAGCTGGTAGGTTTCTGTATCCTTTGAACAATTCACAGTACTTATCAATAAGCAACTATATATTAACTTAACTTAGAATTCAGAACTTGAGGTATAAAAAAATCAATATATTACAGTTTTCAAAAACAGGAGAAAAGCAAACATTTATAAAAGCACCTACCATGAACTAGGTTCCTTAATATTCCCCAGATTTCATTTGATCTTCTCAATAACTCTGTGAATTAGCTGTCATTATCATTTCACCAGCATGGAAACAGTTCAGTAACTTGTCTGCAAGCGATAGTCTACCTCACTCAAAATGTTTAAAAACATTACTTTGATAGTAGTTTAATATAAGAATATGACAAAATTGCTTATTGGGCATGTTTTTAATAATTTAATATTTCAACATAAAAGTATTTTTATACTTGCCTTGTTGATTGGCTTCTTTAGATGATGGAAACTTTTTCTCATGCATGTTTATTAATTCTATTAGAATGCAATGTAATTGAAGGCAGACAAGAGACTACATTTTTATCCTTTTGAACACGAATAGACTGCTGAATTGTTTTAAAAATGGTGGGGGCTTAAGAGATTTGTTTTTCAGAAAATATGAAAACCAAGTGACTCCTCAGAAGGTTCAAAGAATCAACAAGTTCTTGTTTTAAAAACACACCCAAAGAATATGAAAATATGTATTTATTACCAACAAATTAGCATTTCCAACGGAGTTTTTATCAATTACAGACATGTACACATACAATTGCAAGACAAAATTACATTTTTCACATACTAAAGGTTTATATTGCAAAGATAGGCATATGTCCAAAAGACAATCAGAAAGCAGCAAGAAATCTTTCTTCTTACTTTCAATATAGAAAATCTTAACAGAGACTCTCCTTGGGCAAATCAATGAAAATTTAGTAATCAAAAATGCTTGTCACCTTAAAGCTTTCAATATCATTTTTTTCATCAAATCAGGCTTTTACTTTAGGTTCTTACAATTTGAATGTTAATTAAAAATCAACATTTGTAGAAAACATGACAGTTTAAGTGGTTGAAACTATACGGCTCTAGACTTACTATTCTTTAATGTGTTAAAATGATACATAATTTATCCTTCGGAGCTCAAAATTCAATGTAAAACCAAATATTACTTTGTCTAGTAGAGAAATATAATTCTTATAAACAAGGTATGAAGTAACTGTTAGCATATGTAAATTAAAATTTTATTTTCAAATATGCTTAATCTTCAAGCACAATGAGGTTCATTTTGTAGAAACAAGATGACTGTAATAACTATCAAAAAACAAACTACATCAAGAACATATAATAAAGATATTATAGTAGGAAACAAAGTAACAACAGAATACAGTTGGTAATGTCCATTTACTAATATGTTACCAAGTTTTTCAATGTTCATATGACTTGTTCATACTAGTAAAAATGTCATTTTGAAATATTTTCATATGACATGCACTAGGTTTAGTTTACTTAGGAGGGGAGGGCTCTTTTAAAACATTTATAAAGAAAAAATATGTTTTAAAAGAGAAAATGTCTAAGGAAAAGGACATAAACTCAGCTCATTATTTTTTGACTTAATAAGAATATAAATGTCAGTGGCTATTTAAGAATATACAAAACCCAAACTGAATGCCATTCTTCAATTTATTCAGCCTAGCAAGTCAAAATAACATAACATAACATAAAATAAAATAAAATAAAATAAAATTTTGTCAGGTTTACCAGAACAGATCCAATTCACTACTCAAAGACGTGTTCTTGGACCAGTCCATTTTCTTATAAGATTTACTTTTTTTAAAAGAATAGGATTTGTTTGGCACTGTTAATTAGCAAAACTCTCAGAGATAAACAAATGATTTTTCTCATTTAATTCTTTCAAGCTGGAAGAAAACAGTTTAAACTAGATTTTCTAAGATAAAGCGTAGATCAACACCGTAAAGAAGGACTTCTACGCTTAAATTCTAAAAACATTATGGTTTTAAATAAATCAATGTTTTTCTCTCACTCTTACCCAGCACTGAGAAATTTCAAATACAAATTGTAGAAACCAGTATATGAAATTTTAAGAAAATCTTGCTAAAAATAATTATAAAAATGTTTTCTTTTTTTTTTTTTTTTAGAAATTTAAACAAAAACAAAACAAAACAAGACCCCCCCACAGACTTTACAAGGTTATTCTTTAAAAACCCTTGTCACCTGATTTTATTCTCTGTCAATCTTTTTGGCTGCATTTTGCATCATCTAGTGGCCACCTTGTGGCATTTCAAAGAAGCTCTGCTAGCATTTTTGAGGCCCACTGCCTTTTTTTCCCCTTTGAAAAACCATAACAGCATCAAGTTTCATAAAACTTACTTCAAAGGCCCACAAAACTCCATTTCCTAGTGGAGATAAGGTAATCTTTTTTTAATAGAAAGCACTGAATAGATTTGTCATAAATTATTACTATACATTAGATACTTCCATATCAATTTTAAAAAGTTAAATATCACTGGGAGAAACTAGAATTTAAATTCTAGAGTCATCTTAAGATGACTTTATAGGTAATTAGTTCTTATTAATTTAATTTGCAATTAAAGCTCAGGGCTATTGTGTCAAGAAAACTTGTGGTTGATAACCTCCATTCCACCGTACCTTAGATATGCAATAGTAAATACCTTTAAGCATGGAAATCCAGTTACTCACAGAGTACTAAGGAAGATCAACCAAGACTGAAGACTTAACTTTTACTACCAGATGATGTTCCAGAGAAAGAAATCATTGTGATATACATTTCACTAACCTATTTGTATATTTAAAAGCTAGTTTCCAAAAATAATCAATCTTTCTGTTTTAATAAATCTACCAACTTTTATTCAGTTGAGCCATATTTATAAACAGAATCTAACAGAAAAACTTCCAAGTTCCCTCCCTTTGCTTCTACTGAGAAGGTTGAGTGAATGTAATACGGCGCCGCCGCCTTTGGAAAGCCTTTAAATTCCATCTGTTTGGTTCCAGCATATGAGGACCATTGTAGACAAATAATACTGTCATCTTTTCAGAATAAGGAAGATTTTGCAGGAGCTGCATTAAAATAGACAAACTGTCACACAATGCTATACACCAAGAAGCATAGTTTTCCAACTTTACATGTTCACGGTCAAATATATCAGCTTACTCTAATATTAACAAAACATGAACGAAGCTCTCAAATACCTCAATCACAGCCTTGCCAGACTGTGATTGCTACCTGAGTTAGCATACCGGCTTAAGAAATAATCAACACCAGGGAATCCTTTAAGTTCATAGGACAACTGGATGATACAACTCCCCAGGTGGGTTCTGGAAAAGAGTATGTCTTTCATAATTTTCCTAGGATAGACACTTTCACTTTTATCCACAAACACTTCTCATGCAACTTCTGTGGTCAAGCACTGTGATGTACTGGTAGCCCGAAAAGTGTGTGCAGGAATGTTTTATTTGTAGGACAAGGTGTTTGGTAAGAATTAGAGTATTAACAGATCTGCCTATTCCACAGAGTATCTGCAGGAAAAAAGCAGACGATAAAACTCAATAAAAATCTGAATTGGGGATGGGCTCTTCAATGAAATTTTTCATGACTACTTAGTTGAAAAAGAAAAATAAGTATTTGATTACCTTAATAAATACATCTTTGAGTATATCCCTTTTATAATTTTCCTACAGCACGAGATGTAACAAAAGAAAATTTCTCATTTCAATAGTTCTAGATTACAGAAAATTGTCATAAGATAACTGTATTGTTATCAAAGTTTATCTGTGAGTAGAAGATGTTGGGATACTTCTGATTTCCTCTGGGCCAGAGGAGTAACAGTGGTAAATAAAGACGGGGAAAGTATGTGATAGGACAGAATTTTCTGGGAAAATGAAAAGGATGAGAGTTCTAGTGTTTGCATTCTTCAGTCATCTTTTAATGCCAAAAGAGGAGCTTTTCTAGAAGAGGAATGAGTGCCAACAGCAGGGAGAAAAGCTCAGTTCTCAAACATAAGATTTGCCTCTTTTTCAAATAATGAGATTTCTGGTTATGTCACTGGAACTTGATCCTTATATGAATGTAAATATTATAAATTTTTGATTTCTTTTTTGGGAGGGGAGTGTTCCTGCTCATATTTACATATTGTGCCAAAATCTACTACACAGTAAGTCAGTCACAGAGGACTTCTGCATGCACACGCACTTTGAGATTGTTTATTACCTACCTTTGGTGTAATAAAGAAGTACTGAGATGTGTTTTCTTTACAGGCAGTGTTTACAACCATTTCAAACACTCTCCGTTCGTTGATTGGGTCCATTCCCTAAACCATGAGGATAACAATGGTTATAGTTATATTCATTACAGGATACAATCAGATCCAAATAAAATAATAATCACTATACCTGATTGATTTCATCAACTACTCTGAATGGACATCTGTTAAGCTCCTGAAGGGCCATCAAGTATAACATGGTGGAAACACTTCTTTCGCCTCCACTTTGATGGTGAGGAGTCAATTCATGCAGTTGAGTACTACTGCGAAATTTGACTCTAATTCGAATTCCATATTTATCATAGTCTTCCTAAAAAACATTTAAAAAGTTGCAAGATGACAGTTTACCTGGGCAATTTAATTCTTTTTGGTGGTTCTGGGGATTGAACCCAGGGCCTTGAGCATGTTAGGGAAGCACTCCAATCAACTGGTTATACTCTCAGGCCCTGGGCAATTTAATTCTATTGTTTGAAAATAGACGGAATACATCAGTTTAAAGAGTAAATTTATTAATTTAAAAAATAAATTTTTAAGCAGTTACCATCTAAGAAGGCTCTATTAGACAAGATATTATTCAAATTAAAAGTAATTTTTTTCCTGTCCTGTACCATTGGTTTTAATTTTAGCAGGCTATCCAAAGAATTTTTAGAAATTAGTGAGAAGACCTGTCATGGAAAGGCACTATTTTAGTTTCAGCATGCTGGGTTTTTAAACTATAGGTAAAAATAATTAAAACACAATGGAGTGCCATGCCATTTTCAGCTGGAGAAGTAGCTGTGTATGCCTCTGCAAAGGTTCTCCCCACCCCTCAGGTAAGAAGAAAATTAGGCAGGAATTTTTATATTATGCCACATATATACATACAGTGTTTAGCCAAATGCCAGATATATAACAAGGTACATTCAATGTTCTATACATTTTGCTCAAACTGAGTTTGCTCTAAAGCTTATTTACTGCTCTTATCAGTGTTATTTGTCATTTCTAGGTCACTTGGGTTCAGATTTACCTTAAAACATAACTCACTAGTTAAAAGTTAACTATTAAGACTAGGGATGTAGCTCAGCGACAGAGCACTTGCCTAGCATGTGTGGGTTCAATCCCCAGTATCTCTCTCTCTCTCTCTCACACACACACACACACACACTCACACACACACACACACACTCTTAACTATTTAACAAATAGTTTTGTATGGTCTAAGATACTGCTGACCAAAAGACATAAAGAAACAGGCAATTAAAAATTTTCTAGTGGTCATATTTTAAAAAATCAAAAAGAAATAGGTAAGATTCATTTTAATAATAGTCTAATCAGTTATACATGACAGTAGAATGCTCTTTGATTCCTTGTATACAAATGGAGCAGAATTTTTCACTTCTCTGGTTGTAATTTAAATTTAATACTATATTATATCCAAAATATCACAATATGTAATTGATCACAACATGTTTAAGATGAGTGGTGAGTACATTAGAGAGTGTAAGACTAACAGAACTTTTACAAAAATGTAAAACTGTTGGGGGCTGGGAATGATTTATGGATTTCTTTGAGCCATCTTAAGGCAGGGGTGTTACTCTCCTGAGAACTCCCATGGATTCAAGACTGCTCAGATTATGCTGACTCCGCCTGTTGGCTCAGACAGCCCTAGGTTCAAATGCAGCAGCCTGGAAGTAGAGGAGGTATAGGGCGTAACCTGCTAAGCCCCAATCAAGTTGTCTTTGCCATCTTCTTCCTGTTTTCCTCAGGAAGTTCTTCAACTCTGAATCCCACTGGTGTTCCTACCCATTTAAATAAAATGGGTGGGCTCCATTTGGTTGTTAGATCCAGTCTCCATCAGAGCTGGACCATCCCACCATGCCCTCTACTTTTCACTTATGTCTATTTCTTAAATTTCTCTTACCTTTAATATTTCTAATCTGACACACTGCCCTAGTTTGGGGAAACTGAGTAAATGTCATGTGGGTCACGATAGTAAATCTCTTTAACCTTAAGGATTCTGTTACACTGTCAAATTTTAGAAATACCACTTTTAATCTGTTTGCCATCGCCTCCACCCCTCTGCCAAGCACACCAAAATAAATAAACGACAATGTAATAAACATGTAATACTTCTAATTCTCAATGTCAAGTTTTTAACTGTCATGCTGCATTTCTTCCACAATAATTTTATTAACTCTATAATTTATGACTACCAGTTTTGATTACTATAGTTTTGCTTCTGGCTCTAACATCCATCCTTTACTCTTTCTGCCCTATTATAGCTTCTTCCATCTCACTGAAGACCTGAATAAAGAAGGCAATTAAAGAACTATGATTAAAGAGGTCAGAACAGAAGGGAGACAAAGGAAGAGGCTGAGAAGAGGTAAGAACGTCCATTATCCAGGAGCCTAGCACCGAATAATCATCTACAGAATAATCATCTACAGAAGTGCATTTATCATTTAAAACAGTAAAAAAGAGCAGTGGATCTCATGGAGACTAAGATATAAGAGGTGAAAGGGGCAGGGGGAAGTTCTGGAAAGTGATACTGACCAAATTATATTGTAATATTATGTGCGTATATGAATATGTAACAATAAATCCCATCATTATGTGCAACTACAATGTACCAAAAAAATTTTTAAAAATAAAAATAAAACAGAGAAAAGCTGTCCAGAAGAAAAAGCATGTGATGAAGTTATGGTATCATGCATTGGGAGTTAAAGAATGGGATCTCTACAACAGGTCAAGTCCCATATATTTCACTGTGCTTCCTTGATTATATATTTATGCCTTACCTGGTCAAAACCTATATAGTTTGATTTCTTGTTATTTGAAAGCGAAGTGATATTTAGTAAATGTGTGTTTTTAGTTTATTTTACATTCAGTGGATGAAGTATCTGCCTTCCAAGATGGTTGAAAGAATTAAATAAGATAACAAACTTAAAAGTACTAGACACAAAGGAAGCATATTAAAAATTACTATTGTTATTATAATACATCCCCCTTAATTATAACAAACCTAAGGAATGTATGGATGACAATCACTGTAGTAGGACCTAATATCTTAGATCTGGTACTCAAAAAATAAAATAATATTTTATATTTATGCTTCAAACTACACAGATGAAGGAATTAAGGGTCTAAACTCCTCAGGGGGGAGGCAAAAATCAGTGTTACCTTGTTTTATAATTATATATGTAACATAACACAAAATTCCATACATGCTAAAATGGAAAATTTGTGAAGTGATATTTTTTACTATCTTCTCATCAAAATTTTATTGTGGAGAAGTTTTCAACATACACAGATTATTCATAATTAGTATTATTTTGGTACTAGGGGGTTGAGCCAGGGGAGATTTACCACCAAGCTACATCCCCAGTACCTTTTTAAAAATACATTTATTTTATTTATTTTTATGTGGTGCTGAGAATCAAACCTAGCACCTCACATTTGCTAGGTGAGTGCTCTATTCCTGAGCCACAACCCCAGCCACCCGCTCAGTACCTTTTAAAATTTTATGTTTATGTAGCTAGGATTACACATGCGTGCCACAGTGCCTGGCTTCAATTAACAAAAATTAGAGAGAACACTAAAACAAGTTCAATGTGCCTGCAACTAGCCTCAACTATGATCAATATATGGCCAATATTGTTTCACTTATAACCTCACCCACTTCTGTTTCCCAATTATTTTGAAGCATCTATATACATTTCTTTTATTTATTTATTTACTTATTTTGGTAGGGGTAACTAAGGATTAAACCTAGGAGTGCTTTACAATTGAGCTACATCCTCAACCCTTTTTATTGTGAGCTAAAGTTCACCAAGTTGCTTAGGAACTAAGTTTCTGAGGATAGCCTGGAACTTGCAATCCTCCTTTCTCAGCCTCCCAAGTTCCTGGGATTACAGGTATCCACCAACACACCTGACTCTCTTTCTTTTCTGGTGCTGGGGACTGAATCTAGGGCATCTGATATACTGAGCACGTGCTCTACCACTTAGCTACATCTTCAGGCTCTCTTTACACATCAACATGAACTGTGTGTGGCTCAAAAAATTAGCACATTTCCAAATACTTTTGTTCTTGTAAATTTCTGATCAAAAAGGAACTTCTGACATACAGTGTATTTTGGTAATGTTTTCTAATTTTATGACTCTTCTAACTTAGAAAGTGGTTATTCAACATGGCTGAATAACCCTTACTCAAATTGGACCCAAACAGAGCTAGTAAGGAATTAGTCACTAATCTCAAACATCCACCCACCCTTGCAGGGTTAAAAAAAAACAAAACAGAACAAAAACCCCCGCAAAAACATGACCTTAAAGGAATACCATAGGTGGTCTTTTCCTTTGGATAATTTTTTAGTAAGCCAAATTTTCAGACATAATTCTAAAGTAAATTATTTCACATGTACTTTTAGCACTTAATTAAAATTAACTGCCAAGAAATATATTCCAAAAGCTATTTTACCTCATTTTCTGTATGGAGATCAACTTCACCAGCACACTGCATGGAACTAAAAAAATTGCTGAATTTTTCATTAATTTTTTCTACCAGCTCTTTTAAGGGATTAAGCCACCTTTCTTTTACCTACAAAAAAGGCAATGTAAATACATAATTTAAAAGAAGTATTATTATATTCTGATATATACCTTTACATAGAAAAAATTTTATATCAATATCGATCTAGTTATGGGAAGACACTTTTTTTTTAAGGGGTATATCATTCCATTTTCTATTATTCTAAATGCCCAAACCATTAATAATAAGCATATGATAATAAATAAATAAATATTTACAAAATTACCTGTGAAATGTTTTCCCTATATTTATCTAGTTCAACTTTCTTTCCCTTTAGTTCCTCAGTTAACTGTTCAATTTCTTCTTCTCTTTTTGTGTATTCTTCAACCACCTGGCAGAAAAAAAAATGTTCCTTTAAGATAAATCTACCAAAGGATAACATTATGTAGAATTTTGCATCAATGAAACCATTAATTGAAAACGTCAATTGTGTTGCACTGTTTGTATGCAATTAATATATGTTCTTATTACATACTGAAATGCCATTTTTTAAATCCTTGAAAAAAATAGACGTTACAGTATTTCAAGTTAACCCAACTATTCTTTTTATAAAGAAAAGGCACGGAACACTGTGTTCCTTAGGAAGAATCTATTTAAAATTCTAATAGATTCAGAATCTGGCATTTAAAGCACATTGTTCCTGCTGTCTAGCTTATTATTACCAAGGCTCTAGTACAGAGTGGGAGGCAAGTACTGAAGGGAACTGTGTGGTGTGTGTGGAGGGGGGCAACTGTGGTGGCTGCAGAATGGGAACAGAGAAGGAGGCATACTGTAGGATTCAGTCCTGTGAAGCAGGAAGCTCTTGATCTTTCTTCAGTTAATAAAGCATCAATTTCATCCAATGTGTTTGGAAGATCTTGGAAAGCCTAAAGAGGAAAAAAAATTACCTATCATTAGAGATAGCACAGCAAAAACAGTTCCAATCAAATAGTTAAAAAGAAAGATAATATACTAATTATCTACTATCTAATCGATAAAATGTTAGCATTCAAAGTTGCAAAGGAAATATAAACAAGGTCTTTTGCCTTCAAAAAGCTTACACTTTAAAAGAAATCAAAATGTATACAGTGGGTAATACCTTAAGGCAATGTAATGATGTTGAGTATTAAAATAAGCAGTACATATCACAGATTATAGAATTTGAAAAAGTACCAGTTCATGCTACAAGAGAGTTAAGAGAATTGAAAGGCCTAGAATTCATCTCTGGGCCTTAAAGCAAATGGCTAAGGAAGAACAAGGCAGAAAGGAAACAGAAGCTTGGAAAAAAGAAGGAGCACTGCATACCATGGGGGGTGAGGAGTTGTGTCCATTTGGAATGGTGGGTACTTGCTGAATTGGTAGAATGGGTCCAGAATATGTGGGGCATTGAAAGAGAGCAAGAAGTTAGAACTTTATACTGTACTTATGAAGAACTACAAAAGCATCCTAAGAATCCAGTTACTTTGACAGTAGAATTTCACCACAGGACCCTCTTCTGAATCCATGCCACAGAGACAAATTAGAATAGATACCTAAGCATGAGGGGAGACAAGCAGTACATTGTTTTGCCTAGCCCATATACTAAAAGGTACAATATGAATCTTGAAATCCTAAAAGAGATTGATAAATTATATTAATCTAATATCTTAATCTTTTTTTAATCCTTTAGAATGCAGTTCTACTTCTATAGACCTTTACATATTTATGTACATTTGCTGACTCTCTAACTTGTCCACGGAGCTTTGAGCTTATATGCCTAACACTTACTTGCCTTCACCTGACTCTAACAGGCATCTTAAACAGAATCTTCATTTCATCCACCTTTTCCATTATTTTAAGCAAACACAATTCTCCTTCAATCTTTTCCATTCCAGTAAATAACATCACTATTTGCTCAGGTGAAAAACCGAGGGGTTTCCTCTAACCCCTTCATCCTAATCCACCAGTAAGTCCTATTAGCTGTGTCATTAAAAAGACTCTCTAAATTTATCAATCCCTCTCTTTCTAGTGCTACCATCCTAATCCATGCTACTATAATTTCTTGTCTGGTCTTCTGCTGCCTTTCTTGTATGTATTGTACAAGAATGACCCTACATAATCTGGTATCTGCCCTCCTCTCTGCTTGGATTACAATTTTTTAGCCCCACTGAGATTCCTTCTGTCCTGACATATGCTAAATAACTTCCATCTAAGGGGCTTTGTATGAACTACTTTCTCTGCCTGGAATACTTTCCCTCACATCTTCACTTGAGTGATTTCCTTTCTTCATTCAGGACTTATCAAAAACAGTATCTTCGCCAGGCACACACCTGTAATTCCAACAGCTCAGGAGGCTGAGGCAGGAGGACTCTGAGTTCAAAGCCAGCCTCAGCATCTTAGCAAGGCCCTAAGCAATTCAAAAGGCCCTGTCTCTAAATAAAATATAAAAACGGCTGGAGTGGTTAAGCACCCCTGATTTCAATCTCCAGTACAAAACAAAAACAAAACAACAACAACAAAAAACCCAACCAACCAACCAACCAACCAACCAAAAAAAAAACTCCCACAAAACTATAACATCTTTATCTTACATTATCTATTTGCCTTTGTGTTTTTGTCTGCCCCATCCTGCAGACTAGAATGTTTCAGTATAGAAGAACGTCTATCTTGATTAATGCAAGTAATTAATACATTTTTAATGAATGTTAATTATCTTCTAATTCTGTTTCTTTCAAAAGCAGTATAAATTATCAAGGAAAATCATGCTATTTTTGAAAGATAACTAATGCAGATATTAAACTAATATTTATTTTATGAAAACATGTATTTTATGAAAAAACATATTTAGGAAAAATTCTAGTACTATCTTTAAAAACAATAACCTCCTCAATTAGTTTTACAGATTTCTACTCCATTCCTAACATTTACCCAGTCAAATCCATTCTCTGAGGTTTCTACATCAGGTATCAAAATAAAATCTCTGGTGATTTGACAAATGTAATCCAAGTTAGTCTTTTTTCCTGCTTTTTATATCTTTAGTATACATTTCATTATCTATTAAAATAAATTTCAAATTAAAAACTAAAAAAAAGACATTCAAATACCAATTATTTAAAAACTAATTTTCTTACTTTATTTTGACATTATTTTCAATAGGCAGGAAAGGTGTCATCCCCACTTGTCAGATAAAGACTAGGGTCATAGGTCGGATATACAACAATGAAATGTGAACTAAAGGGAAGCTTTCACTAATTTTACTGAGTGATGTCAGTCAATAAAATGAAGACACTGAGAGCTCCTTTTTCCTTTTCTGACAGATGTTAGTTCTTAAGATTCAGCTCCCTGTAAACCCTAATTAAACACTCCAATTTCTAGGAAAACATTTTCATTTTGCCTTTGTTTCTCTAAGAATCATCCTACTTACTGTTTGTTACACACCAATTGCTGATACAATGCACTCCTTAAAGGTGGTTTGAGGAAAAAAGCTCACTTTTATTGCAAGAATGATTATTATGGTACCAATACTTCTGTAAGGTAATTCCTACATTTTAATAACTTTAGTATTAAGTAATAAGACTGGTGGCCAAATTTGAGTAGAGAAAATCTGCTGAATGAAATTACTTTATATGTGTATTCCATTTTAAAGTGGGAAAAAATCCCATATTTCTTATCACACATCATATTTTTCATGGCCTATTATAATGCATAAGATACTTTAAGCTTAAATTAATGTGTTATGGCAACTGTAGCATTATATAATTTTTATACTTACTGTCTGATATTCTTGAGGAACAGTCTGCTCTGCACCAAGATTACATACTTGCCTAGCTCTCTTCATAAGTTCCTTGCATTTCTGCAATAATCTTTGTCTATTTTCATCCAACTCAATGAAACGTTGCTATTAGGAGAAAAAGAAACATTTTGAAAATCTGAACATTACTGTTAAATCAGAGAGCTGTTTAATTAAATCACCACATATCTGAAATTTAACAGCCTTTTTCTAGTGCCTTTTTTGTGGTTATTCATGGACCTATTCATTCCTTTACCAAATAATAACTGAGAACCTATTAAATGCCAGTATTATATTTTGCATTAAGCATAGAAAGGTGGATATGGAGAAAGATACATAGAATCATTATCACATCAGAAACAGGCAGTATTTACTGAATGCTTATGTGTTAGGCCCCCGGCTAGGTGCTTCACATACACCTTTTATATCTCACAACACTGTACAGCAAGATTATGTCCGATGTGCACATTTAGTAAGTTGTCATGAATCACATCCGTATTTGCTTAAAGGACAAATGTTCTTTTCATTAGCGCACAATGCTTCTTCCCCCATAAATGGGGGAAGGGGATGTACGAAGATCATAGCTTCTATGACAACTAAAATGTTTCCAAACAGAAGAAATTACTAAAGAAGCAATAGCAGAAGGCATTCCAAGGATAGGTGATTATGAATGTAAAGGCATGAAAACCTCAAAGACATGCTTATTTAAGAAATAAGTAATCTAATGTGATTAGAGGAGGGGAATTTGTCAGCAATCAGAGTTGGTAAGGTGGGCAAGGGTCAGACTGGGAAAGTTTCACGCATGATGAGTAATCTACTGAATGCCTCTTATAGGCGAAGCATTATTATAACCCGTAAGTAAATTAATCTGATCCCCATTACAATCTTGAGAAATACGTTATCTTTTTTTAGATGTGTCTGAGAGCTATTAAAAAAAATGTCTGAGGTTATGGAACGAGCAGTGAACAGGTGTTTAAGAAAGTGAAAGATCCAATTTGCTCTTTGCACTAAACTCAAATTGCACAAAAAACACCTTAAGTGTTGATGTCCTAGCCCCACCCCACATCTACTTGCTTAGTATCTTGAGGATTAGGCTTTGATATCGATTTTTTAAAAAAGAATTGTTTAGATGTTGATGTACCTTTATTTTATTCATTTATTTTTATGTGGTGCTCAGAATCTAACCCAGTGGCTCACACATGCTAGGCAAATGACTAGCACTGAGCCACAACCCCAGTTCCTGATATCTATATTATTAATAAGGTCTTCAGGTGATTTTTATGCTCATGAATTTGAAATAAAATAAACTAAACTAAGATACAGTTGCGAAAAGTAAAAGGACCTTACTGTACTGAACATATGAGCAAGCCTTTATACTAATCACTTAGTACTATGGTTTCCTTGAATGAATTCCTCAGTCTTTATGGTCTGAGAGAAATAAAAGAAAATGTTAAAGACTCCCAGTAACCTTACTCTTCTCTTTAGGGGCCACTGTACTCAGGCAAATGTACAACAGGGGGCAATTGGAAAGGAACTAAATATTCCTAATGACTTCTATTCCTGCTTCCTGTTCCGTTCCTCTAATTTTGCTAAAACGAAGTTTGAGAAAGAAACACCACTGAGTTGTGGAAGCTCCGGACTTAGAAGGACAACTCATTTAATAGTTCCATGCTGTATGGGAGGGGGCAGAAGAGGGTAGGGTATTAGCAAGGATGGTGGAATGTTATGGACATCATTATACAAAATACATGTATGAAGACTTGAATTAGGTGTCAACATACTTTGTATACAGAGATATGAAAAATTGTGGTATATATGTGTATTAAGAATTGTAATGCAAAAAAAAGTCCATGTATAAAGGCATAAATTGGCGTGAACATACTTTATATACAAGATACAAAAAATTGTGTAATAAGATTTGTAATGCATTCCACTGCTGTCGTGTATTTAAAAAAAATAACAAAATCAATAAAAGATAAAAAAAGTTCTTTCTATACATACATGTTTTTGACATAATTCTTCATATAGCACCTACTTTTTTTTTTGTACAAGGGATTGAACTCAGGGGCACTCGACCATAAAGCCACATCCCTAACCCTATTTTATTTAAAGACAGGGTCTCACTGAGTTGCTTAGCACTTCACTTTTGCTGAGGCTGGCTTTGAACTCATGATCCTCCTGCCTCAGCCTCTCAAGCTGCTGGGATTACAGGTGTGCGCCACCATGCCTGAGAGCACTTGTCTATTTTAAACCACAATTTTTGCAGATAGAAAGAAGGGAATTATACATTTATATAAAATGCTTTAAAGTCAGGCTAGTGGAATGGCTTTATTCCCATCTCTGTTTAGAGTTTAGCCTTTAATAGTTAATAGAGAATAGAAAATACTCAATCTATTTAAGACATAAGAGGAGAAAAGGGCGAAATTTACAAGTTACCCCCACTAACATCTCAGAAAATATTACTTTGTAGGTATATATCTTGAAAGAAATGAATAAATATTATCATTATTCTTAAAGGTTTTTTTTTTTTTTGAGAAAATTTAGTTGTTATGGAAATTGTATAAAAATATGGTAACATTAAACAATGAAAAACTTTTCTAAGAAGGCCCTCTTGTGGAAGAATTAAGAATTATTCACAGACTTTCTTATTCAAATAGCTGAGTATTCTATTAACATTTCTATTTAGCAACTCATTAAAATAAAAGGCAAATAAAATAAAAATTGTATTCTGTACAAACAGAATTAAATTAGATTTCTAGGTAGCATGAAGTTTTACTAAGATATTATCTCCAAAATCTGAATTTTTTTTTTTTTTGGTATCAAGGATTGAACTCAGGGGCATTCGATCACTGAGCCACATCCCAGCCCTATTTTGTAGTTTATTTAGAGACAGGGTCTCAGAGTTGCACAGTGCCTCGCAGTTGCTGAGGCTTGCTTTGAACTCGCAAGTCAACTGTCTCAGCCTCCCAAGCCTCCGGGATTACAGGAGTGCGCCACCATGCCTGGTTTCTAAAATCTGAAACTTTTTAAGGGCTAACTAACACCATAGGTAGAAAATTCCACATTTCTTATGATCAGTCATAGTCAATTCAGGTGTATTAGACATATATTATGTATATGAAGTATTCATGAAACATAAATGAATTTTTTATTTAAACTTGGGTCTCATCCCCAAGAGAACTCAGTATGTATAAGCAATTATTCCCAAACTGTGAAAACCTGAAATCTCAAATGCTTCAGATTAGAAATACTCAAAACTGTAAAACAATTGATATTTACTCTTCAAAGTTATATGTATCTCATGTAAGTAAAAAATATATGGCATTCAGTTCTACTTTGCAGGGAAGTGGTTTGCAGGTAGGCAGAAAAGAGATTAAACGGATAGCACAGAATTCCTACATTTAGTATTAAGAGGAATAAACAAACAATTTCTAATTCTTTTTTGGGGGTGGGGGGATGGAATCTAGGTGTGCTTAAGTCACATTCCCAGCCATTTTTTATATTTTTTTTAGAGGCAGGGTTTCACTGAGTTGCTTAGAGCCTTGACGAGTTGCTGAGACTGGCTCTGAACTCATGATTCCCCTGCTTCGGCCTCCTGAATTGCTGGGATTTACAGGTGTGCGGCACTGTGCCTGGCTTCAATTTCTAATTCTTATAACTTAATATCAATACTGATATAAACCTATACTTTCTAAACAAACACTAGTTTCATGCTAGGCAGCACACTAAGCACCTTGTCACACAGCCTAGGTACACTTCAACAGATGAATGGATAAAGAAAATGTGGCATATGTACACAATGGAATATTACTCAGCCCTAAAGAAAAATAAAATTATGGCATTTGCCGGTAAATGGATGAAACTGGAGACCATTAGGCCAAGGGAAATAAGACAATCCCCTAAACCAAAGGCCAAATGTTCTCTCTGATGCATGGATGCTAACACACAACAGGGGGCAGAAAATAGAAGTTCACTGAATTAGACAAAGGGGAATAAAGGGAAGGGAGATAGGAACAGGAAAGACAGTAGAATGAATCTGACATAATTTTCCTATGTTCATACATGAATACACAACCAGTGTAACTCCACATCCATACAACCAGAAAAGTGGGATCCTTATTGGAAATAAGTTGTATTCCATGTACGTATAATATGTCAAAATACACTCTACTGTCATGCATACCTAAATAAATATATAAATTAACTGAATATCATATCCCTGAAGTAGTCAGATATTATTATTATTATTTTTTTAATTTTTTATTGTTGGTTGTTCAAAACATTACAAATTTCTTGACATATCATATTCCACACTTTGATTCAAGTAGTCAGATATTATATGTATGGCTATAGACAAAGATTAAGCTTGGACTTTAGGAAATCTGCCCACAGTTAAAAAAAAACAACAACAACTGTCCATCACTGTATTTGTATTCACACTTATCCTAGCTTAGTATCTATCCTATAAGTATTCAAGATAGTGGTGACACTATCAAACAGGGGCTCACAATTATATGCCTTTCCCTGGGAATGTTCTATTGGTCAGGAACTCTGCTGCCTTATTTGCCTTCCAAAATCTGCGTAAGTATCAACCCCATGAGGGTTAACAAACAACCTCTCTTTCCCCTCAGCATGCTTACTATGTCAGCTTTCTTTTGCAAATTTATTTCCTTATTAAAGCAAAGGATAAAATCAGAATTGTTAGTAATGGTTCCTCAGAGGGATATGTCATGTGTTCAAAGGGACAAGTAGGGGGAAAAAAGGGTTTTCCTTGGTTTAAGTGAATTGCATAGCAAGATGAACAGACAAGACAGATTAAAGCATATGTAGGTAAATGGCAGCAAACATGAGAAGAAAAAAGAAGAAGTAAAAGAGAAAGCCAAAGCTACTTAAATACACTTATATACTGTTTTCCTTTTTGAGAAAACGGAAAAAAGTTTTACTGATTTGCTAGCAAAAGAAAAACAGGGGACTCCTGTCCAGAGGCTGTGATTCTGCCCATCAGCAGGAACAGTGGGCTTTTAAAGAGTTGATTCAAAGGCTACATTCCTCATGTTCTCTGTTGGAGTTGTAATTCACTTGTTAATTTGGGAGACAGTCATTTCTGA